TGTTCTTAGAAGACCAGGGACCTCTTGGGGTTACTGTTGAGCCTCGTTGTTTGTGACGTCCGCAACAGTTTGCGGTTGCACGAACGAAGCGTAATATTGTCCATTTCACTCATTTCAACCCTTCGCATCTTAATATTTCTTGACCAATAAAGTAGTATAGAACGTCACCAGCGTTGGACGCAGACCCGCAGCACGTTGCAATGACAAATTCGTGGTACGCATGTTTTACGAGCATGGCATGCCCGAACCTTATAGCGGACGCTGCTCGAGCGCTCGTTCGATGTGTCCGTAGCCACTTTGCACTCGCGTCGCATCAACCGTGAACTCCACGAGTCGCAAGCACGCAGCTGAGGTGATGTAGTGGACACGGGGGAAGCCAAAACCGTTGAATCCCGAAGCACTGACGAGCGTGTAGGCTCCCATGTTGTCAAATACGAGCCACTCGCCATCGGAGACGGCGAAAAAGTGTGAGCGCGCCACGATGACATCCCAGGGGTGGCACGTGGCGCCCCAAATTGTCGTCAGGACGTCGCGAGGTCGATTGAAAGGAGGCTGGACACGTCGTAGGGCGCCGATATGTAAAGAAAGAAAAAGAATCAGACTACAGCAGAAACAACGCATGCACAAGCGCACACGGATCCCCAAAGGATAGAGCGTAAAGCGTTCGATCTTCCATGTTAAACAAGCTGGCTTTACACTATACAGAGAACTTGCGGTATACAGAAAATATGTAATATCGCGGACAGGTAATCCTTAAATACTTGAAAAACTCGGTGCCTATGCACTTCACCGCTCACTTGCACCAATCACCCCTGTTGTATTTATCGACGCTTGACCCACGACGGGTATACTCCGTGTGCCGGGGCTCTCAACATTATGTGCCCACTTTATTATCTATGAAGTGGCTCGAGACACGTGCTTGTAAATTGAGGATTAGCCTCGGGTTCGTCACTCTTGTTCGCATTTCGCGTTCGAGAAATGACTTTCTTTAACTGCACTTAGCGAGTGGGACGCTTGGGGCCCCAGTGTAGGTGTGTGCTACGCTGTTACTGTGCGTTGTACAATCCGTGTCTATCGAGTTGAAGGGACACTTACAAGACGCTCTGCCATAGCGTTGGCTCGTGACGTAGGGGTTAACATTGAGTGCGCTGTTCGCCAAGAGCAGCCGTCGAGGCTCCTCATTGGTTTCTGGGACTTGGCTCATGCCTTCCGAAGGTAATGGTCATGTGAAGGTATGGATATATATGTGTAACGGCTGATGCTGCTTATTAAGCGTACATGCACACAGTGGAAGAGTCGACCGTGCAGAAGTGTTGTAGCCAGGAGTTTTTATTTCGTAGGGGGGGGGGGCGGGATGAGTCCATTTTACATAAAAATGCCCTTGTGTACTTGTATGCATGCTTGTACATATAGAATACAAGCTGAACAATACCTCAGAAAATATTTCAAGATCTCCCCCTCTCCCTGCCTCCTCCTCCCGCAACCCCCTCATGTGTATACATTTATGGCACACGATGAAAGTCCAGTAACGCTATAGAATGAACACTTTGCATACTGAGTAGAGCACACCATTTCAGTCTGATGTTATAAAACATGAATCTTGCCATATCATTAGTGGTCAGTTGAAATGGCAAGACAGAGTTTTAAAGACTGCATTTTTTAAGGGTATTCACAATGCAAATAAACCATCTTAAGGCATTCATTTGTGCAATACTTTTGCGACGGCCATAAAACTACACGGTTTGCTTGTTAAAAGTGAATGATTGGGCCAGTTGGTGATAAAAAGATTGAATTGAGGTAGAAAATACGGACAGGAAAAGGACAAGTACAAGCGCAGGCTATCAACTGAAGGTTTATTTATCACGCACTGCATCTATATGTGACAAACAGGAAAAAGAAAGAAAGGAAGAAAGAAAGAAAGAAAGAAAAAAAGAAAGAAAGAAAGAAAAGTTAGCATTTCAACAAATGACAAATATCATACACCCGAAACACGAGGCAGAATATCTGATTTATTACACAAATGCCCCATTCACCAGATATTGAAGCTATTTACCTAGGTGGGCAACCGATGGTTGGCTCACACAGTTGCCAGGTTCCCGCACCATTTTCGCTGCTTCAATAACGATGCGAGTATGATCATCTTTGTGCTTTTGCTATACAGTTGCATCACCAAACTGTGCATGGAACCCACACCTGTTGACATGCTGAGCCAAGAAGCCTTCATTGCCATTGCGTACTTTACGTGCGTGTTCACACAGTGGTTCACTGAGGCACCTCCTAGTGTGCAGGATGTAGCACGCACCACATTATAGTGAAATTCGGCGTACTAGATTGCTTGTTGTGCATGTTTGTGACTGTTAATTCGTAATTCTTGGCACATGCAGTATAAGGAAAAACGACCGGTTGTTGTGATCAACTATGTGCGCCATGCTGGTTTCACAATAATGTACTCAACATTACTACGTGACTCACGTTCAGTTTTTGGCTGCTATTGGGAGAATATATTCACAATGGGCATGGTATTGTATAAATTCTGGCGTCAAATTTTATTTTTGCACCATGCGGCCGCTTTTGTTCAGCTCAGTGTTATTCCCAATAATAATAAATATTTTAATAAGTGTATTGTTGTGGATGGCATTTTCTGATTTCTACATTTCACATTCAAGCATTTCTCACAAGTTTTACGCTTAATGGCTTTAGAAAATATAATGCGTACATTTGAATCTATGCTTCAGATGTCGGATGATTTTAAACGCACTCACCTCCAGAGGGCTTATGTGAATGTCCATGAGGTCGAACAGGTCTCGGTTGATAGTGTTGCATTTGCTTTCGTTGATGAAGACGTCCCAATGTTCGCTGAATTTTCCTGCAACGTGGGCATAGCTATCATTTATTTAAGTGCTTGCTCAGGCACTTACGGTGACATATCGCGGTATTTCGTACTCATCATTTGGCACACAAAAGACACTGATACACTCATATGCGTTCATTTGTATAGAGAAAAACAGACCAGTGAATGTTATTTTATTTTTTAGACCATATAAGGAGCAGAAAACTACGTTTGTTTCAGGAGCACAAGTATCGTGTACAAGTGAGCGGTAATTTCTTACAAACGTCACGCTTCAAAATAATCCTGTGCTAATCACCAACAGAAACGAGATGCTAGGCGTGTAATTGGTAGGAGCAAACCGAGATAAAGAAGTGCGTAGAAACAATTGAAACAGATGTTGCAAGCGAGTTGTCTCACAGCTTAAGTGACGCTTCCACGAATCTCGCACCTCTGTAAAGGCTTTTAAATGATGTTAATGAGCGCTGTCATTTGCTAATTGAACCTTGATTACTCGTGAGCTTTAGGGTGAAGGGAGACATTAACCTCTAAAGCAGGGGTCTCAAACTCACATTAGCTACTGGGCCGCAATCACGATACGTGGTTCCGCAAAGGGTCGGGGCAGTCCAGAAGTGGAAATTGGGGAGGGGGGGTGTGTGGGGAGGAAGGGTAAATATAAACGCCAGCTAACGATGCCATTGGAAAGAAGGCCTCTCCCTTGTTTCATATACCGGTTGTTTTTGTAGGGGATTTGTACACGGGATTGCAGAAACATATCGATACAGTTCTCCACAACGACCAAAAACTAGACGCGAATCCTGAAGTACACAGCTTTTGTTCGATGGTTGTTTTAACAGAATGCGGGTGCATGGGGGTGCCTTGCAAAAAAAAAAAACATGCTTAAGAGCAGTCACGTCCGGATAGCTCGCTAGAAGAAGACGTTAACAACCATGATAGACAGAAAAATAATGTGAGCACCGCCTAGGAATGCAACAATCCGTCTCAAAGTCGTGAAAAGGATGAGACAATAAGCGGCATGTTCAGCTTGGGGGCCGCTTGCCAAAGGTCGATGAGCAGCATGCGGTCCACAGGCCACGTGCTTGGGACTCCCTCTCTGAAGTGTTTAGTATACTGTATAACAGCGTTTTTGCCCATACTTGAACGAGTTACGGACTAATAGAGTCACAGTCCTTGCTCTTAGAAAGCATTTCCGTGTGAGTGTTTCTTACGTAACTTTTACAGATGCCACTTTCGAAAGTCAAGTATATATATATATATATATATATATATATATATATATATATATATATATATATATATATATATATATATATATATATATATATATATATATAATCAGACGAATATACATTGAGTTGGCGTGCTTTAATAGCAAGTAAGTGGTAAAGATAATCTCCCACGATAGAAATTAATGGAAATGTTTACTGCTACCACCGTGCTACTTTTAATAGTTTCTGAACGTCAGCATATAATCTGGCAAATAGGGGCTTCAGACGCTGCACAGACATGGACTCACTTTTTGAACTCTGGACTTCAGAGGAATGCCGAATTGGTGGGTAAGTGTTGGTGTATTGTTTCATTGAATCTCGAGATAACTTTGCGCTTTGTAGTGAAAAGGTGAGACATATACGCTAGCAGTGTACGCGATACTGCGCGTACAATAGTGGTGAACCACGTACAATAACGGATTGACCGCGTTTAGGAGTTCACCCTCAGCATTCGACGAAGTTAAACATGTGTAAAACATTTTTGAAATTCAGTATGTTAATTACCACACTACAGGGGGCTCGTCTGGTGTGTACACTTGAAAGAGTAAAAAAAAAAGACTGACTACTCTTCTTACGAGCATTTGGGAGACTCGGTGTAAGTTCAGCGCTGGCGTGATGTTTAATTGCATTTAAAGAGTAAGACTGTCAGCTTTTTCATTGCCTGCAGCAATGAAATGGGTGGAGCCGCTGAAATCAATAACAATGAAGCCAGACCTGCGCAACTCTTTCGCTTTGCGTGATTAAAGACACTAAAGAGGAACAATAATTTTGTTTAGATCAATGAACTGCACTATGAGAACTCTAATGTCATATGTTTGACAGTCATAAGTTCGGTATTAGTGGACAAGTTGACAGTTGAAGTTTCATTTTTGAATTTCATCACAAAATCTCCGCGTGTGATGTAAGAAATTTCAAAATGTATTTTCAATATTTTTGTAACATTAGCTTGATGAAATTTTCTGAAACTTCATATGCTAAGTCTGTGCTGCCCACAGATTATGATGTACCGATTGACGTTTATCGATTGGTAGCTACGTAGGACCCAGTAGATGCCTTCAAAATTTCTTGCGCCACAGTGTTGGGTGTGGGAATCTGAAGGTGGCGTCGCCACCCGCATTTTCTGTTCGCGCGTTTTCGCGCTTACTAAGCGTCGTGTCGCGGTAAGAGTGGTGGTTTTTTTTATAAATTTTGGACTTGTACTTTACTAATAAGCAAAAAATCGTTTGGCCCCTTTAGGGTCGTTTTAACGTTGTATGCATAATAACGTTGGCTGTATACTGTGGGCATTGTTGTACGCACTCACCACCGAAAAACAAGACGAAGGTGTTGACCTCGTAATATTTGGCATAAAAAACAGCAAGAAAGAAACGTACTGTTAGGCTAATGGTATCACATTTTAGCAGGCCGCTAACCAGGAGGGGTGTATAGCCTCCCCCCCTGAAATTCGGATGGAAAGGGGTGTTTTGCCATGGACAAATGGCTGTGGGCCCGAATCTAAAGTAATAAAACAGCACAAATTGGCACATTCGGAACCACGCACATACAGACACACTAGATTGTCCACCACACACAGCGCCCAGTTCCAGCAGGGCTCGCTTTCTGGATTCCGTGCCGACCGGTTGCGCCCTCACGATCTCCGGCGTCAATGTAGCTCTGGCCGACTGGGCTTTTCAACGTTAAAGCAACGTTAAACTTTCCAACGTTAAAGCAACGTTAAACTTTTCAACGTTAAAGCACAACTGCCCTTGAGAAACCTTGAAGAGATTCCATTATTAAGAACGGATGAGCCACTGGATCTTTGTGCATAGACTGAAAAAAAGAAAGGAAGTTGAATGGATTCACCGAATCTCGTTCGTGCTCTTTTATTGACTTAAACTTGCTACTTCAGTTGCCAGTCAAACTCTTTGCTTTCGTACGGACATTACTGAGTCGCCTGCAGCTGGCGTCGAGTTTTTGAAATACCTTTATTTCATAGCGATGTCTTGCCATGCCATGTATGGCGCTATCGATTTCCAAGTGACGAGCAGAAGAACACCTCCTTCGCACCGATACTTCTTTACACAACCAGAACAATTGGCCTTGTTCTGGTGCAAGACAAATTATTCAGCTAATTATTCAACCATGCCTAATGTGCTTAAAACATACATCTGGCACTAAGGAGAAGTTACAAGGACGGATGGGTGTATAAAACAATACAAGAACAGGTACATTGGTCAGAGGAAGCACACATAAATCAAACAATAGGTACTCAAAGAACCCAAACAAAAAGTACTCACAGGACATGTAGCATATGACAAATATGCGGCGGCTGCATTTCCGATAGAGGCGGAAATGTTGTAGGGCCGTGTGCTCAGATTTGGGTGCACGTTAAATAATTCCATTTTTTCCGGAGTCCTCCACTACGACGTCTCTCATAATCATATGGTGGTTTTGGGACGTTAAACCCCACATATCAATCAATCAGCATGCGACAAATAACCAGGACTAACAACTTTTGCGGATGATCAACTATGTAAAATATTTCAGCAACCTGAACCGTTTTATAGAGGACATCTGCGTGACAAGAGTGAATCGTATACGATTGTCTGAAAAAAAAAAAAAAATATCCGTAGTCGTTTTACCGAACCGTGGTGCTTTCTTAACATCCGGCAGCAGTTGTTCTGTACGTGAACGTCGGAGAAATGCATTTCGCAATATTGTTTTCTAATTTTTATTTCTTGTTTTTTTATACGTTCAAGGATAATTATTATGGTAAAAAAAGAGTTCTCGGTATTTCGTAGCATGAAGACTTTCTTAAGATTGCTCAAAAATCAACTATAGTTAGGTTGCGTGTACCGCACATACCGTTTCTATATACTTTATATGTCCACAAATGTTTGAAGACGTGTCTCTTTTCTCCATTCATCCACCAAGTGCGGAGACTGGCATGCACGCACTTTAATTGGGACATCTTATTTATTTCTTTATGCAAGGCTAAATGTAACGTATCAGTCTATTCGCACTACAAGAATATTTATTTTGCAGCTCCACCCTACTGCTTGTATTATTGTACGCATTTTAATTCATGAAGAAATTTGAAAAAAGAAGTTTTATTTACCTTCCATGTTCACAGATTTCTTTCTGGTGCCAACAACTTTGGTAATCAACGTGTACGCTGAAATAACGAAGAACTGTCCCGGTTCAGCGATGACGTTGACGCAACTGGATGGCGGGAAGTTGACAATAAGGGCCTCTCTGATAACGCGACACAACTAAAAAAAGAAAGAAAACACACACACAAGAATAGCATAATGAGGAAGGGCAGCTTAAAGAACTTGGGTAAACTGAATGGGGTACTTGGGTAATCTGAATTATTTTTTATATCAAAATATTTTTGAACATGACAGTGCTTTGATGTCAATGTATGGAAATATCAACGGCTACATAGAACAAAAATGTGTGACAGCTCCACTAGTGTGAAATCATAAGAAATGCGTCACGCAAAGTTTGTAGATTCCAGTTTGTCCACTGCGCCGTTTACCAACATAGCGTAAATGATGCCATTTTTTTGGTAAACATGTAGAGTTTCCCCGGCACTTGCAGAATCTTGTTATACAGATTCAAAAACTGGTTCTGTGACATGTGAGCTACTATTGTTTTTTGCGTGCGTGTTGTATTTGCATTCTATCGTGTAATATGTCTTGTTACTGTAGCTATCATTATTGATTCTTTGACTATGTAAATCTCCCACCATTCATGCTCCTCGATCGTTTCTACAAATTTATATATTTTGTTTTGGTGTTCTGGAACATAAAAAGACGGCCACCTCATGCCTCCTGTGCCCTTTCATTTTTCCCTTTTCTGTGTGCACTTAAAGTTATAGCCTTAAATGAGCCTTTCATGAATGGCGGGTGATATTTGTACGACCAGCTTAAACACAAGAAAAGTTCTTTTATGTGTGTTCAAACAAAATAACGTATTTCCACACTCCTCGCTGAGCCTCATACTAGTTGTGCTGCCATAGTGCTATGTTTTATAAGGACTAATTTGTCTTAAAGGGGCTCTGCAACACTTTTTGAGCATGATCAGAAAATGCTGCTAATCGCTTGTCGAGACTTCTGTGAGCATGTGAGCCAAACATTAGAACGCAGCACGTGGCCTAGAATTTACGTGTAAATCGGAAATTGGCTAGAAATTGCTCACTCTTCTTTCGACAAACAACGCCATAAAACTAAATGACTGTGCCGGAAACTTGGTCATTGACTTATTTCAGCATCGTAAGCCGCATAGTTGACGCAGCCGCCCCAGAATGGCGCGACTTGCCCACGTGCTCGCTAGCGAATCCACTGAAAATGGGCCACGCGTTCGAAGAATGTACTCAAGGTCATGGTGCGCGTGTCTTATCTTTTTTTAGAAGGATTCGTTGGTGTGCTTGTTTGATCACACGTGTTTTGTCAAGCGTGTAAAATCAAAGACAGGAAGGCAAAGAGTAGAAGCAGCTCACATAAGGAAATGTGGTATCAAGTGTATAGGTATGCCAAGTGTGTACCTAAGTGACAATGAGATGGAGTTTTTGTATGCTCAAACAGGATGCGTCTTGAGACGTTGATAACTTGTGCGCTTGTATAAAAGCAGGCTTCATGCTTTTCAATAATCAGTTGGAAGTCAGCGCCAGTCTATGTCGCTCATGTGTTTTCTCTCGTCTTCGTTTCTTCAGTATATCCTAAACTATCTTCTTTCCCCGTGTCATGCCTCATCGCTTAGCTTCCATAACGCTCGAGTCGGTACGAGAAAAAAAGAGGCATCACTTAGAGCGCGCGAATATTTGTAACGCCGTTCCTACTTGACGGATTCTAAAAACTTTTGCCGCAGTCAATTTGCGAAGCTAAAAATTCATTTGATGAAGCCGTTCGACCATTACTCGAGAAAGTGCAGCTGAGCTCTTTCAAGATAAAAATCTTTGACAGACATCTGTCTGGCTGGGTTGAAGTTATAGAACAATTCTAGAAAAATGCCCTTCAGCCACGATTGACGACACTCCAATCAACCAAACATGGCGGGATAGTCATATTCTAGGATATTTTGTCTTGTATTTCGCTATAGGTTTCAGTTAGTTTAACGCACTCAAGTGGGGAGCCACATATAGAGAGAGTTCCCTTAAGGTAAACGCTACAATTGGACCTTTTTTATGATATATGAAAAAAAAAACCCAAAAAGAATGATTGCGAAGGACATGCGTACAATCTAATCTACATATGTGTGATGGTAAAGGTGAAAAAACTGACAAGAAAGCTAAATGAATCTGCGAAAATCTGAAACAAAAACACAAAAATGGGTGAGTGAATAGGTAAAGACTAAAAATACTTCGCGCTTCTTTTCTTTCTTTTTTTATAGGCTAACGACAATGGTAAAGGTGTAGAAACCTTTCTGCGCAACAGCACCAGTTTTTCTTAATACCTGCATGAAAGTTGAAATGTATTGTGTAGTTTATTAATGTGACCTGATCTGACGCAACACAAGTACGTAGACTGTAAGTACATGAATACAACAGGTAAGAGTGGACGCGTGCGGGGACCCATATTCAAATCCTTTCTGATCGCCTTCTTCTGTAGTACTGTGCAGTGTCTATGTCAAGAGCTAAATACTGGCTAACGCTTTATAAGTTATAATAAAGGTACAAGTACAACAAAAATGAGCGTAATAGTGTAAATTTCTGTTAACATACGTGCAAAATGACGCATGGCAAGGTCCTACAGCATTTCTATTTGCTTTCGCGATGTAACTTTTGCATATCCGCAATGCTTCTGTGTGACAGAGGTAGGTGCGCAATAAGATCAAGAGCAAGGAAGTACCTCGACAAAGGACTCCAGCTTTCTTGCACCTCCGGGAAAGCCACCGCCAATATCGAGCGTGTCCATTTGGAAGCCTAACTCACGGCCAACATCAAACACTGCCTTTGCATCCTCGATGGTACGCTGGAACACGGTCGGGTGCTTAAATGCCGCTCCAATGTGAAAGCTGTGCGAGGAGAATGCCAAAGCAATGCGTTCGATCGCTTCGAGCAGTTGCGCAATTCATGCACAATCTTCTTGTAAAATAAAGAAACGTGTGCAAAACATTGTCGTGCCCCGGCAGTGCACCGGTCGCAGGTTTGGTTCCTGCCCACGACAAGTTATCTTTTCACCCACTTTTCTTTTTTCCCATTTACATTACAATTCAATTTAATAACTTGCCCTAATTTAATAACTCTCCCGAATATGGTGAATATTCTGCCATGATTCCATCAAATTGCACGTCGGCAACTATTTTTCTGACTGCAATGAACTACAGGAACTGCTTTCCACAGCGAACAGTTATCTGCTAATATGCAGCTTCTCTATCGCGCTTATCGTTATTGTTAAGACCCGTTGAAAATTAATGCGAAAAATTAAGTAAATGAACGAATAGATTGAGGTGACGCGGGCAATGTCAGAGGTTATTTTTTTATGAAAGAGAAGGAGGGTGGGTAATCGCACACAAAATAATAACACCATTGCGATATGGGTCTAGAAAAAAAGAAAAAAACGAACACTGCCGGAAAAAAATTGTCGAGAAAAAACATTAACCTCCTGCTAGCGAAAATAAGCGGTCAAATCACGTGATGTAAATTACGTCACGTGATGGCACTGTGGCATCACTATGGTATCATGAATTTTGCGACATGTGATGTCATGCCATCACATGGTGACGTCATTTTATGATGATTTTTTGCATCACGTGCTCCCGACGACTCGAGACGCCTTCGTCGCGGCACGCCGACAGTAATATTTTGTGTTTCATGAGACATCTAAGGCTTTCTTTTGAACGGTAAGCGTGCCCGTGATATCGCAGATGAGCAGCGTAAGCTGACAAAATTAGCATTTTTTTCAACTCAATAATTTACTTTTGACTTTGGATGCCGAGCGCGCATGACTGTGGGCCGATTATTATTTGGCCTTCTAGCGCATACTGGTTACATGCAAGCGGTGTTCACGTGATCTACTCGCTTGCTGTTGATATTCACTTTGAGGCAGAGGCCTAAAACTCTCGCTCGCTTAGTGAGGGCTTAAAAATGACCTTTCTGCATTTTTGGGGATCTTTTTCTATTGATGCACCGCGAACCCAAATTATATATCATCGATCAGTTTGGCCACGAAGATTTAGCAGTCAGATACGATCATGATTCTTCAGAGAAGTTCTGTACCAATAATCTTTAGCACTCAGTGTGTTAGTCACTTCTCACTTTGGAAACGAAATCACACATCTTGTATGAATGATCAGCTGCTTTCTTTATGTCTTTGTTTTATTTCATTGAACACAAACTTGAGTCGTATAGTTTGCAACGATTTGGAAAAAAAAACCTTCAAACCCGACGCAGTTCGGACATTATTTTTCTACCACCCTGCCGCGAAGTACAGAAAGCCCCCTCGACAGAGACATGAACTTCGAGCTGATAGTAGTGAGTCGTTGCTGCCTGCTCCTTTTCATGCCTATAGTAGTTGTCACGAGCAAAATTATATATGATACGAGCGGCGTGTTACTACCTGGAAGAAAAAACACCCTGCATAATGTAACTCTCCATGAAGCTCTTTTAGAGTAGCATGCAACATTTACATGGCTTTCGGAAGAAACCTATCTTCTCATAAAAGTTCGTTTCAGTACTCTGTATCTTGCAATCTCAATTTTTCTGAATTCGCTACACTAGCGGGGTTCGCAAGGGGCCAGAAATAGCCCCCTTCCATGGAATTTTCTGGTGCGTTCGTAGGAGCCCCGGCGAAAAATGGAGCCGGGTGCAGCACGTGCCGAAGGCGGGAGAGGAGAATTGAGGAGAAAACACGAGTGTGGAGGAGAATGTCCTTACTTTCCTAGATCAAGGGGCTTCATGCGAGAGAGCACAGCGGCGCTTGTAGCGGGAGCAATGAGAACTAGTGTACACGCTGCTGACAACGGACAAAGCATGAGCATACGAAGCTTGACGAGCAAGCTACCAAAAAGTTGCCACTCGGCTGTTTTCACCACACGTTTTCTGCCACGTGTGCCACGCCATGGGTATTTTTGCCGCCAGCGTGTAGGTTCCTATAAAGAACTAGCGCTGCAACCACTGTCAGCCCCGTATAAGCTTGGTCGCTGAGCCAACTGAGCTTACTCGGTGGATTTCAAGCTATACTTTAAAGACAACAACACCGTTATGTGCGGCGGCGTTATATCGTTGATAAATGATGCAGACTGCATGTAATACCACCGTAATTTTTTACCTCGAAGATGAACGCTAATAGTTCTGGATCGCTAAGCACTGTCGTCGCAGAACGTCTCATTCGTTAGCGTAGCCAGAGGGGGCGAAGAGTGGAAGGTCAAGCTTTTAAAATTTCCCCATTTTTCTTATACAGTGCACTCCCACTTCAGTGAACTTCATGAAAAGCAAGGAAATACTTTTCCAAACTTTATATTCATGATAAATACGGAACTGAATCGAAGTAGCGGATATGAAGAGAAAAGTGTTAAATACAATTTATGTTGAAAAGCAAAATGTAATTTTCGTTTTGACTGGTGCCCTTAGAGGGCACGAAAATGCGAAGCGAAAGTGGTCTAGTCTACGTTTTCATGACTGCCTCTGGCGCAGCTCGTTGCTGTGTCATGATGTCTCGAAACGTTCGAATACCTGTGCCACACGGGCTCCTTTGTAAGGCCACCCAGTCGATGGCCATCGAAACGCCACATGACTGTAGACTCGATTGAGTAGCCGCGCTGCTACAGTTTGAATGGGCGTTGAGTGATTGAGGCGTTTATCGCAAGCACTCTGTGCTGCTGTGGATCCTTATTTTCTTGTTCATGTTGGCTTAAGTTAAATAGTATAGGTTCACTTAAAAAATCCGGTATGTCTGTTGATGTTTTCCAGAAATTGTTTATTTGTAGTCAGCAATGCACACCAGAAGTGTTTTTCTTTGGATTAGTTGGTGAAATATGGTAAAAAGAAAAAAAACTGCGCAAACAAGAAGACCAATAAAACAGTCAACTGTTAGACAGCGCTCGTCTTTTCTGTTATTTCTTCATTCGTCTCTTCAAGTTTGCGCTGTTTTCACCTTTTAGCAATGCATATTCAGCTTTACGTTATTGAGTTGCGAAACTGTGGCGACCGATACAGAACGATACAGCACGCTGAAGATGAGCACGTCGCTGCTGTCGAGAGTATGAGCAGTTCACACATTTCAAGCGGCAAGAATACTCTAAGAAATAATTCACAACCCTCACATATACTGCTTTTGAAGTATGCTCAATAGATTCATTTTTTCCAACCATGTTTCTTATCGTGTGTACGAGCACACCAAGTGCACTGTGAATGAGAGGACACAATAGCGTCGTTTCCGCTTCCGACGCTCAATGGCCAACGAAGTTTCAGTAAAGTTGTGAGGTGCTCCGTTTGACTCAGTGGTTCTCAAAAACACCAGTGTAGCAACTCGTTCTTGACATTATTGAAAAAAAAATATGTATTTATATATAACTGCGCTAAAAACAAGACACCAGAAATGAAGTGGACAAAACGATCGCAGAATAACAACTGGTCTTTTGAAACATACACTACCCTTATGACCACGTGACAAGTTGACCACGTGACATGACCACGTGACAAGTTGCACACCACTCCCAAAACTCCTATCTACTAAAGAAATAGGCAGATCCCCACGTACAGTGGGAAGCGATGATATGCGAAGCACGAATGAGGAAGGTTGATATGTCACTAAAAATCAGCACAACGTTACGAGACAAACGTAAATTGGGCCGTACATGACTTCCATGCCATGATTATCATGTTTGGGCGTGGAACTTACCCTCGTTGTCTATTCACGTCACGGGATTACAAATTATGTATATGTGAAGCGAGCGAAACGGTCACGAGCGTGTTACCAGCGTAGCATGTAGTTATGTTTTACACGACACGCATATCATGGTTATCATGTTTTGACGTGTAATTTACCTTCGTAGTCCGTTCGTGCCACGTAATACAAAATTTGGTATACGTGAAGCTAGCGAAACGGCCGCGAGCGCATTATGAACGTGGTATGTTGTTATGTTCTTACATAACATGAGTGTCATGATTATAATGTTTGCACCAGTCATATACCTTTGTCATTCATTGACGTCACGCAACACGAAACATGGTATATGTGAAGATAGCAAAACAGCCGCGAGCACATCATGAGCGTGGCGCGTAGTCATGTTATTGCATGACACGCATTTCATGATTATCATGTTTGGACGTGGCATTTGCCTTCACCAACCATTAACGTCCCTTAATACCAAATGTGGTATATGCGAAGCAAGCGAAAGGACTGCTAGCGCTCCACGAGCGTGGAGTGTAGCCATGATTTACATGACATGCATGTCATGATTTCGACGTTAGGGTCTGCCACGTGTGTTCGCCATGCAGTCATGTCATACCATACCAGTTTTGCAACATGTTATGTGAACGAAACCACAAGAGCAGCAAGACCAAAAAATGTACATCCTGACATATATGTCATAATTTTCATGTTATGACTGGTCAGTTATACTTTTCATGCACTCATGTTATGCCACACCAATTTCAATATCGATACATTATCGAATGGTTAGGAGAGCTAAAAGTCGTAGGCGTGGCTAGATAGATAGATAGATAGATAGATAGATAGATAGATAGATAGACAGATAGATAGATAGATAGATAGATAGATAGATAGATAGATAGATAGATAGATAGATAGATACGGTCAAAGTCACCGAAGTTCGCTAAAAATAATTCGCATTAAATAGGAAATCGCGCTCTTTCCCGGGAAGTTACACGGATGTGTCGCTGACGCACTTGTCAGTCCCCTGGCTATATTCAAGAGGCCTCCAAGATTTCCCTTGCTTTTTGGCTTTTGGCTCGCTCTATCACCTTGGTGCTACTGAAGATGTGCTTTAATCCCTGTGCGTATGCGTCACAAAAAATTGGTAGGTGCTTCCCATTGCTGTCCCCTAATGGA